GGCTGTGAGGTGTGTGTGTGCACCGAGGTGGAGGAACTGAGGAGCCAGGTGAGCCGTCTACAGAGCAGGAACAGAGAGCTGGAGCTACAGAGCAGTGGCCGAAATAGTGACCATGCCCGACAGATCCGCCAGGTAGCACACACGCAGTGAAGATGAATAAATGCAGAGCAGACAAACATACAAGTGTGGTACAGACGCACTTGCCATGCATTTATTAAATATGTTGTGTGTATGTTCATAGCATGCCGAAGCCCTGTCCAGTTTGCGTTCAGAGATGGTGAGAGCCCAGACAGAGGAGCTGCGTCGTATCCAAAAACATGCAGACGATGAGAGGGACAAACTGCAGAGGGAGATAGAAAAAGAGAGAGAAAACTTAGAGAAGGAAAGGGAGCAAGAAAAGGTTCAGCTTGAGAAGGACAGAAACAGACTGTGCAAGGAGATAGAGGAGGAGAAGGAAGCGCTGCACAAAGAAGTGGAAGAGGCCAAAAAGCGTCTGAGGAGAGAAAAGGAGGAAGAGGTGGACCGAATGCGAAAGGAGCTGGAAGTCGAGAGGGTTCGCGTTCGTTCCCACTTGGACAAGAACATTGAACAGGTCGAGGCAGAGAGAGCCAGTGTGCAGCAAAGGCTGGAAGAGGAGAAGAAGAGGTTGGTGGAGAAGGCTGAGGAGGACAGGAAGCGGCTGAAGGAGCAGGTGCGGAAGGCAATAGAGGAGGTGATGAGGAGACACGCAGCCGAACTACACAGCGTTCAAGAAGCTCTGAGTTCAGAGAAAAAGACCAACCAAGAGGTCAGCATCAATCTGCACACCACTGCAGTAACCACAACTACAAATAATAACAAAAAGGCACAGATCAGATACATGTATTAAAAACATAATTAAATTAAAAACATAAATCTTTTTGTCTTTTTGTCTGACCTACTATCCTGGGACCTGCTGAGGGGGAACCCAGGCTGGGAACCACAGCTCTAAAAGAAAATGATTAATGAATACTTTTCGCTCTCAGTGTAAAAGTAGAACTATAAAGAGATTTTATCATATAAATGCCTGCCCTCTAAGTCTTCTTGTAATGTGCACTTTGTTGTGACCAATTAATAATTAGACATAGCACTGGGAAGATAACAGTATAGTTGAGTTAATGTGTTAAAAAGAATTGTTAATGTAATAATGGTGTTGAAGAGGATGAATATTCTTGGAAGGTGTGTGCACGCTTGGAAGAGGAGAGGAGGAACGGTGAAGAGCTGAGGACAAAACTGAAAGATGCTAACAGTGAGGTCAGAGGTCAATTTACACTATTATCACTGTGCATTTTTAACACCGAAAATATGGCAGATTAATCTATTTGTGGTATTGGTTATAATAACTGTAATGGGTGAAGTGGTGAAGAAATACTTTCTGTCCTCAGATCTGTAGGTTGGAGTCAGTGATCCAGCTGCTAGAGAAGAAAGAAAGGGTGGCGCCTGAAGCTGCACCCTCATGTGGACCTCAGTGTTCTTGCCTTGAAGAAGAGCTTCGTCAGACTCGGAGTCGACTGGCTGGGATTCAGGAGGAGGCAGAGAGGCAAAGGGACAGACAGCAGAAGGAGATAGCATCCCTGAGAGCTGACAAACATCGGCTGGAGGAGAAAGTCCTGGAACAGAGCCGACTGAACACGGAGAGGAGTCTTCTAGAGCAGAGCCAGCGGCACACTGAGGACCGGATCAGGTAGCAGAATAAACTCAGGCCTGCCAGAACCAGGATTACATGACAAAGTCGTGACTCTGCCTATAATCTCCCCCTGCCTTCCTCTTTCAAATGAAGATCACCAACCTGCACCATGTTTTCCTCTTTTCAGTTCAGTTCTGTTTTGTGCGAATGAGCTTTATTGACAAGAAATGTGTTTTAGTGGAATAAAACTTGTCAAAAAATTAACTGGGGTAATTAAACTGATACATAAACCATTAAACAGCATCAGTATATCAATACAAATTAAATCAATATCACATTAATAGTTTTCAGACCACTTGATCTGTCTTGTCATATACTCTACATACTGTATCATTATGAGTAGTGTATACACACATTGAAAAGGCGGATTACATGCACCTTTCCATCATGCCTTCCAACATGATGTCACGCTCCTGTTCTGGGCTGTTTTCCATGCAAAAGCACTAAATGTATCTACGAAAAATAGCTGGGTGTTTGAGATTCTTCTCCAGAAATACTACCAGTGAATTCTTAATTCCATAACAAGACAAAGAAAACCAGTTTTTTGGTACTTAAATGGACATTTATGAAATCAAGCTATTAAGAAAAATGAGAAATAATCAGATTACTGCCATGCACAGGCTGTCACTAGACATGGAACTTAATAAAAATGTTTTTAAAGTGAGGTAGAGGCACAAGAGACAAAACAACACACAAGACAATAAAATGTTTACCCATACAGTGTAGCAAGAAGACATAAACCCTAATTTTGTGTGTAGGGTAATTGTGCCTCATTTCTTGTTCTGATGCATGTCTCCAGGGCTGAGTGCGAGGATCGTCTCAGAGCAGAGTTCAGGATCGAGATGAATGCTGCTGTTGCTGAGAGCGAACAGAGATGGCAGATCCGAGAGCAGGAGCTGCAGACACAGATATCTGAGCTGCAGGCACAGGTGAGTCTCCCTCATAAACTAAATTATAAAGTCTCATTATTGATCCTTGCTCTCAGTACTTGCAGCCATTTTAGTAATACAATTATAGCTTGATAATCAAACTCAGCTGCCATTTTGTTTTTACTTCATCATTCATATTCTGGTTGAGCTGCTGAAAACACCAGAGATGTGGGTAGAGATACTGATGTCTGAAAAAGTGGCTGAATGACAGTTAGGGTTCATTCAGTTGGCTTCCAGACTATACAGAAAACCTGCATGACTGACCAGCATCTAGCACTGAGATCCACCATTTAAATCCAAGTGAGAACACATGTAGGTTATCCAGCTTAACAGGGTTAATTACTTATTTGATTAAGCTGCTTACATTGGTTAGTCATAGACTGATGAAAGACAGCTAACCCTCAGATTTGAGAAGTTTGAACAAGCAAATGAGTGGCTTTTTTTCTGAAAAGTAACCTGATTGTTATCAAAAAAACAAAAACTGTTGCCAGTTAGTTGTGATTCTAATGATCATTCCCAGAATACCACATTGAAGACTGGGGATGATTCTCTGCATTCATCTGCCTTTCATTTGGGCTATAAGATTATGTCAGACTTCTCTGAATTGATTGTCAAGCTTGACTAATTTTAGACATCAAGATCAGTTTACTAGTCATCATAAGTACTATTCAAACTGTGAAAACAGCCTGATAAAATAATCTCAGTGGTATCATTTTGGAAAACAGAAATCCTGTGTTCAAAACCAGGAGGAGGATTCTGGAAAATGTGGCTCTTTAAACAGCAAGGAGAGTTTAATGAAAGAGTTAAGTTATAGACTCAAGCATTTTTGGACCTATATGCAAAATTAAAAGTCAGGATATTGCACCTTTAGTTGCGGCTTACATTTTGTCTCCCAACTTTATAGGAGTGCACTACCTGAGTACTCTTATAATTAGTTCCACAAGTCTGTTTTGAGTGCATAATGAAGTCGTGGCTTTAATTATTTTAAGAAAGCAGCGTAAGTATGAAAATCCTAAAACAAAAGCAACATCAATACCTGCTGCAAGTTCATCATCTAAGTATCACTCTGACACCACACAGGGCCTTAAAATCCTACACTCCTGACTTCTTGCTAATAATGCAGGTGGAGAATAAGAAGGCGGGCCAGGGAGATGATTGCCATGGCAACCCCGAAATTGACAGGTTGAGGAAGGAGGTCCAAGACACCAAGGAGATAAACAGGAAACTGAGGGAGTTGCTGCAGGTACACGCCCGCGCAAGATGCACACATGAGGTGCACACATTTTCAAAAACCATATGTGATCACTTTTATAGGTTTTGTCTGTGATGAATAATTTAGCAGCTTTGATGACAGCAATGCAGGCAGTGTTTCTGAGCAGGTGCATTTATATATGTAGCATGTATGCACAGTTAAATACTATAAAGAGAGTTTTTTTGTGATCTTATAGAATGCAGCTCTTGTAAACAAACTAACAAAGAAAACAAAATGTGTGTTAATGTGTTTGGAGGAGCCACAAACCAAGTCTTTAGGAGAGGAGAGACACAGCCATGCCATGGCTCTGCAGGCGTTGGAGAGACAGGCAAAAGAAGATCTGCTGTCTGAGAGGAACAGGCTACAGACAATGCACCACCTGGAGCTAGGTAACACACACATGCACACATAAACACACATGAGAATTAGCATAAGCACACACAGACAGTAACACACTCTATACAACAAACAGAAAGATGCACAGACAAAATGAGCAACTACACACAGCGATATACACACAGATTATAAATTCAACAGTGAAGTTGCTATTGCCATGGATACACTTCACCATGGCAACAGCAGCAGGGTACCTGTAACAGTGGGCCAAACTGGTTTTGTTTTCTGGATGTGGTTTCAGATAAGCAGCGTGCGGAGTTGACCCAGCAGCACACAGAGTGGACCAGGCAGATGACCCAGAGACACATGCAGCAGATAGAAGACCTACAGGCTCAGCTCCAGGCACACACACAGATGATGGCTCTGCAACAGGTGACACAAACACACTGCATCAGCCATGTGTGTAGTCTTTGCTTGTGACCATGTGCATGACAAATACAGTATGTGCGCACACAAGCAAATCACAGTCATTTGATAACAAATAGTATTATCTACCACATGAATCAAATCCTTCATGGCTCTGGGATTAAACCAGCACAAAAGGTTTTCAGCTGCATCAGCATTAGCAGATATAAAACCAACATTCTGATTCTGCGTATATTGACAATATGAGATTTCATGCATGCTTATATGTGTGTGTGAAGGATTTGAAGCAGCAGAACCAGTATCAGGTGTTTGAGCGACAGCTGGACGAGAGTCGCTGTGCCATGCTGGAGCTGCAGAGAGAGAATGCAGCTCTCAAGAAGCAGTTAAAGGAAAGGTAAGCAAAGAAGGACATACATGTGACAAAAAGGATTGATTTGAACTCTAATGACAGTCTTTAGGGTTGCAACTAACTATTATTTTTATTGTTGATTAATTTACCGATATTTTCTCCAGTAAATATGACAAAATAGTGAAAAACGTCCATCACAGTATCTCAGTGTGCACAAGGACTTTGATTTGCATGATTTGATTGATTTGCTTGATTGGATCAACAGTTCAAAGCCTGGGGAGAATAAATGTATTATAAGACAAAGAAAAACATGCAATCTTTATATTTCAGAAGCTGGAAATGGCGAATGTTTGGCATTTGGCTTGAAAAATAGCAGAGCTGATTAATTATCACAATAGCTGCCAGTTAATTTTTTGATAATTGATTATTCATCTTATTTTTTCAACTTAAATTCTTTAGGAATCAAACTAATAACCATCTAGCAAGTTTCAAATTGAACTGGCTAAACTACCTTAAAGGAATAGTTTGACATTTTGGGAAATAACTTTATTCCCTTTCTGGTGCGAGTTAGATAAGAAAATTGACACTATTCTCAAGTTTCTGTTCTAAATATGAAGCTACAGTTAGCAGCTGTTTACAGTTTATCATAGGTTTTATTGTCCTAAACAGGCAACAAGCATTATTTCTATTCTTATCCTTTACATCTAACTGTCCCTTCCAAGATCAATACAGAAAAATCCTGAAACTGAAGAGAAGGAAGATGCAAGCGCAGAATTGAGGAAAAGGAGAGACGCCCAGCTGGAAGAAGAAGCACAACGTCTAAAGGAGGAAGTGGAGAAACTGAGGGTGGAGATGGAAAAACTGGAAGAGTCACAGAAACACTGGGAGGAGAGGAAAGAGGATGACATAAAAGAAGAGGAAGTGGGTGAGGACAAGAGGAAGGAGCGAGACGAGCAGGAGGAGGAGAAGAGGAGACAGGAGGTGGAGGAAATCAGGAGGGAGCACAAGAAGGAGATGCAGAGTTTGGTCTCTGAATACAGCAGCGCCCAGACGCACCTGCAGGCTCGAATAGTGGCTTTGGAGAACGAGTGAGTAGAGGGCAGATGCATTGGACCACAGCACACACGTAGTTTAAAATAAATATAACAGTGATTAAACATCAGTACATGCGTGTGAGAAAAGGTGTGTGTTTGTGTATATGATTTAACTGCAGGCTGCGTGAGCGGGAGGAGCGGTGCAGGAGGAGAGAGCCTCAATGTGATGACCTGCAGCTGGGGAGACTGCAGGAGAGGCTCACAGAGAGAGACCAGCTCATCAAACGATTAGTGGTGAGAACACATGACAACTCTACTGATACTCTAAGGATACTCACTTAATGTCCAGTGTCATTCAGTACTTTTCCTATTGTCAACAAATCCCATGAAGCCACCAAAGACTTGCCCCTTATTGTTTGTGTAGGCTTAAATATCTGAACCACAGACCTCCAGTGGGTCCAAAATCTATAGACATCAGTGGACTACACATTTGCACTGGGTGACAAATTCCTACATAACAATGAACACTCTATGGATGATGTAGTTTCTCTTAAACTGATCACAGCTATGCTGCCCTGCTGCTGAAAATACGCACTATAGCACCAGATTTGAGCATAAAATAGTTGGTTTTGATCAATATATTGGATTTGAGGACAGCAAGAAAAATGAACAATTCTCTTTATTCTGAAACTTGTTTGTGCAACTCCAACTAATTTTTTTCCAGTTCAGCCACACAATAGCACCCGGAACACATTAAATATACCATGCTTCTCAGTATCCATGATGTGGTTTCTAAATCTACTGTGTATGAGGTGCAGTAATACTCCTTATCTATTTAATAGACAACAATAATAGACAACAATAGCTTAGTTAAAAAGAATAATCAGCAGATTAGTCAATAATAAAAATAATTATCAGTTGCAGCCATTCACCTGAACACCTTTAGGGCTTCTCATGCGTTTGGAGGTCAGGGTCAGGGTGGCCTGGTGATTATCACGAATACTATGTAACTGCAGTGTTTTTGGTCTAATCAGGGTAAGTCCAGTAAAGACAAAATGACAATGATCGGCAGATAAACTGATAATGCTGCAGCCCTATTCAGGAACTAGTGAGTGAACTGCTTTGTCAAAAGATTTTGAACCACTGACAATACCAGCTTTTCCTGTTTAAATTAGGAAAAACTGCTGAAGAATTCCACTGGCAGTGAGCTAACACCTGACAGACAGGAGTTTAGTTCTTTTTAGAGCCAATTAACAGCGAGGTAATGACAAGTTAATGTAAAGCCGGCTGAGAGGGCAAATTCATAAAATGTAATGTAACCACTAAAATTAAATCCAACTGGAACCGTCTTCATTAATCATTCATGCACATATATGCGTAGGAGAAAACTGCATTTTTTTGAAGTGCTCTCTGCCAGAGAGCCGTGTCTACCATCTGTGTGGCATGAGGCAGCTTAGCAAACAAGAACACCCTCCAGACACAACTCCAATACAACAACAACACCAACTGTGACTAAGGCCAATGAAAAGTCCTTCCTCATCCTCCGTCCCTCCAGGAAGAGCGACACCAGCTGCAACTCCACCCTCCTGTTGCCGGGGACAACAGCACCCTCAGGCTCCAAGACAGCAAGTCCCGCCCCGGGAGTGTCACGCCGACCATGAGGGTGAGTGTGTCTGTTCGGCTCACGCACGTAATGCATCCATCGAAATGAGCCTCCTGTTGGCCAGAAGAGCTCACTGGGCTGAAGCCAACTTTTGTTTCTGTAACACAAGGCAATAAAATGTACAAGCTCACCCAGCAGACACACTGCCATCCTGTTGTAAACACGCAGCCCCTCTGTGTCCATCGCACAGCTTTTAATTACGATACACGTGGCCAGTATAGATAAGACTTGTGTAGAGAATTTTTACAAATGACTGTTTAGCCAATAACTTCAATGAAGTTTGATCTTGTAACATATAATCTTAAAGTAACATGAAGTGTATTTGTTATAATGGAACACTCCATATGCAGATGCAGCCGTCTAAATCACAATGTGAGGCTGCAGCAGCAGCAGGCAGCATCCAGTGTGAATTAATTTGCCTACATTAATGTCGGTGTCAGTTATGGATACGTGATCACAGACCAGCCGGGGTGATAAATCTTAGCATAGTATTTAAGAATGTTTGCGGTTTACCGTATTTAAAATAACAGTCCAGTCTTGAAGAATGTACAGACTCCACTCCTGTAACACCAGCATTAAATCACTTGAATGTGAATGTGTTCTCCTCACAGAGGAAGCGTGTGGAGTCGCCTCCTCACATCACCAGCATCCCCAGCACCAGTGCGTACGACAGGAACATCTTCCTACCCCACTCCTCATTGTCTTCCCCCTCCCCCACAGCCAACAACCCTCCCCCTCACTCCCTCGATCCACCAGATCGCGAACCTCCTGCCTCCCTCCCACCCCAGCACCCACCGCCCCGCTACCCGTCTGCCCATCACCGCCAACGGGCATCCGCTACGTGTCCCCCTCCTGCCAGGAGCCATATGCACACCTGCAGGCCCAATCAATCAGGTATGGACATTTTGATATCTTGGATGTGATGTTACAAATGTGGAAAGAAGTAAATCTGAGGCTGCATACTCCTACGTCTGATCATTTCAGGTTAAAACGATTATTCTTCCCGCCCTTTTGAAACTCAAAACTGCCACTTGAAATCAAAACATTCACATAATCAGGAAAATGGCACGTACAAACCAGAGAAATACAGGACAATCAGGTAGAAAATTACATTCTCTGTAGTGTTACTGTTTACAGCAGCCAAAAAAGTAATGTAAAAATAGTAAAGAAAACCTTGAAAGGCTTCAAAACCTGCTGGTATGCATCATTTGTTTTGATGTAAATGTGTATTTTGTGAATTTTTCTCTCTCCAATTTGAATGTACACGATGTTTTCTATTTTGATCCTTGTTCAGATTATTTCTGGTCTTGTGCTTGTTGACTTTCTGAATATTTTGGTGTCGGGTTGGCCCCAACTTGTTTGCTCTGATTAGTACTACTTGCCCTAGTTAGCCTTGTCAGGTGACCGTGGTCGCATCATACTTACCTCCCTTGAATATTTGCTCCATTTCCCATTCACTAAGGTAGCCTGTATGATGCACCAGTCCAAGCATGCATTATCTCCTGCTGATTCACTGAGTTCATCATTGTTCATTGTGACCGAGCTGAGCGTTTATTTGACCGATAGAAACACTGCTGCTTTAAATTTTATTATTCTAGCTCATTTCTCCATTTGTAGTACATTTTCACACAACCAGTCCACAAAATGCAGCATCACTCTTATATACCGTTTACACTTTGTGATCCCAATGATCAGTTTATTTATTGCCCACATCATAAACATGTCTGTGTGGGGAAATGTTATTGAATATCAATGTAATGTGACTGTACCTTTGTTATGAAGAAGGCAGTTTTTTTTAGGTCTGCACCTCACTAGAGTAGATGTGTGTGTTCCCTCAGTTTTTTACTGGCTTCAAAATAAGTGAAATGCTGTGAACCTTAGCAAAATATTAAAGTTCACGAGTGCACGTCCTGTGTCTTGCAGGGGCCCATATCTGGAGCCAAGGGGGACAGAGGGCCTGAAGCAGGAGTGGTTCACCAAATACTTCTCCTTCTAAGCACAAACACACACACACACACACACACAGCAGCTGCAAGTATGTCTTCATACAGTCCATCGCTTCTTATACACATCCGTTTACTTCCCACTCACTCACACACACACACACACACACACATATATACAGACACACACAGAGACATAACGACATTAAAAGACAAATGGGCTCATCACCAGCAAGGCCATTTCGAGCATTGCCTCAAAACTCAACCAAGAAGTGCTTCTCAAACACATGCCTGACCTCTTCTCAGAACATAGGCCTGCTGGATCTTGTTTGTATCGTTTGGAATGTCTCCATTTTTTTTTTTTTTTTTGAAGAAGAAGTCTTCCTTTTTTTAATGCAGCTTTTGCTCTAATCTCATCACATGGTTATTCCAGGCAAATGTACATTTCTTAAACTCTACAACCAAGTGTCTTTTTGAGTATGGAAGCATTTAACATATTCAATCAAGATCCTCATCAATACGTATACACATGACTCACCATACCAAAATGAAGCTTGTCTCAATGCAAAAATGTACAATAATCTTAATGAACAAATTGAATAAAATATTTTGTTTTTGTAAGTGACTATTTTGTATATTGGTGTAACTAAGGGGGGGAAAGAGCCACAAGCAGAGGTTTGAAAATAGGTGGCACCAGCTCAAAACAGATGGATGGAGGTTGGTAACATGTATAAAGATCTTCTACCAGAGTATATGTAAAAGTAGTGCATAGTAACTTTGCTTGAAAATTTTAGAAAATATATTATTTATATTACAATAAATGAAAAGCAACAAAACATACTGATCAAGCAGAAATAACTGAAAATCTCTTGCTGGTTAGAGAGGTCAGTCCCACTCAAAACCTATTAGGAGCTAATATCTCTGCACTGCTGTCGAATGAGTGTAGGTCACAGGAGGCTTCGGCAGCACCTCTCCACATTAATACAAAACCTGGGGGAGATTTCTACAACAAAAATATTTGAGAAAAACAAAACAAACAAACCCTACACTGTAGCTTTAAATGTCAGAAAACACTGTCCATGAGTAATTGGCCCGTGGTGAAGTCTTCAAATGCCTCATTCGACCAGTAGAAAGACCAAAGATATTCAGACAAAGATACTGTGTAAAACTGAGCAAACCAATAAATCATCACATCTGAGAATTTGCAGCCACAGAATATGTGACATTTTTAATATACGAAGGAATTGACAATTGAACAGCTTTAATTTTCTATCAATCAACTAATGGATTACTGGATTAAGAGTGAAACCAACACCATTTTATAGAGGCATTAAAAAATCGAATGAGTATTTATTTGTATTTTTTCTGTATACTTAGGATGCATACAAATGAACTAAAATGCAGCCAATGCAAGAACAGGCATAAGCTGCATTAACAACACACAAATACACAAGTTTTACATGATCATTTCAACAACCTCTGTGTCACATCACAGATCTGTACACAGTCACTGTACATTAAGTGCCCTCCATCTCTGCTGCTGCACTACAAGGGGATCAATAACCATGTTTATGTATCAGGTCATGCAGGGTGACTGGCAGACTTGAGATGCTCTACACTGAACCTTCTTCACACTAAAAACAGCCTCCTCACACTCCATGTTTGCAGTGACACACTAGTGAAACATTGCACAGTTTTGCAGTGCCTCGGTGGCTGAGCTGCATTCGAGAATGTTGTCATAGAAACGTGTGAGCTCCTCTCGCACGTCCTTGGTGCCCCTCCGTCTTAGACCCCGGTACTTCATTGAAAGCAGCTTGGAGCACAGGTAGTGGAGCCAGAGCACATTGGAATGGGGGTGGTATTCGCTCCAGTTGTTTCTGGGACAGACAGAAAGGGCAGCAGGGGATCATTAGATCATGACAGCAATAAATCTGGGATGTTGATTTAATGCACTACATGAACGGAATTATGCACAAGAACACTAATCATGTCTGTCTCAGCAACGGTTTGGTAAATACATGCATTAGGAAAAACAAGAGTTAGATGATGGAAACCGCCCTCGTACCTGCCCAAGAAACTTAGTTTAGCTTAGCTACATCTATGAGCACCACTAGCAATTAGTAATTATGTTAGATCTTGTTCACTTTGGTGTTTCAGCTTCAGAGTTGCTAGTAGGAGGATTTAAAAAAAAAATCTTTAACTAAAGTCAAGCTGGCTGTTGCCCAATTTCCAGTCTAGCTAAACTAACCAGCTTCTGCCTGCAGCTTCATACTTAACAGAGTGTGGTACATGAGTAAGCAGATTTCCCAAAATGTCTTAAGTATTCCTTTAAGATAATGATGATCTTAAAAAATAGTATCAGACTTGCAAGTTGCATTTTATGGATGACTCATGAAATGCACAGCCCTTCATAAAAAACCAAAGCTGTATGGTGACTTTAATCTTTACTTATTAAAAAGAGTATAAGAAAAGCCTTACTATGTGAAGTCCCTCATCTCTAAGCTGCTTGGACTTTCTAGATGTCATATTGATTCAGCCAAGTCAAAATCAAATCAGTAGGAAGTCTACTGGGACTTCTAGGCTCGGTTATCCTACAAATCCTGTGTCTTGTTTAGTGTATTTGCTCCGTGAGACACCTTTGCAATACAGAGATACTCCAATTAGTAGAGTTTCTAAATTAGTCACTGACCCATTCTCCTTTCTCATCAGTCTGTAGATCTCAAATTGGTAATCTCCCTGGCCCATGAAAAGTTGCTCATCCTTTGAGATATCGCAGGACACTGTCAGTTCATCTGGAGAAAACAGTGTAAAAACAATGACATATTTTGAGCACAAAACAATGTGACTATAAGTGAACAGAAAGGAAGGGGTGGGGAAAATATCTGACCGATTTCTAGTCTGGAGAGAGAGTAGTCAATGATGCGGACCAGCACGCCTTTAGTTTCCAGTGAGTGGGTTGTTCCATTCAGC